TTCTACAGCAACCGTGTGTGACGCTCTCGTGTCAATACGGACCCAAAATCTCACAGGAATGATTCCATCACATTATTAAATAATCATAAATCTAAATAAATCTATGCCACGTATTAACTGAATTATGAACACGTGTTAATGCAAAAGATAGTCTTATCCAGTACTAGCAAGGTGAGCGCAGACTGACAGAGTCCATAAAACATAGTTTTAACCAAAAACATGGAGAAAAAACAGAATCATATCACCGCCGATAAGTTTAAGTGACCTAAATAAATGACAGATAAACAAAACAAACGGAATCAGGTGTACGTGCCAGATCAATGGAATAGTAAAAAGGTACAAAGGCGCTTCAGCAGCCAGGTGCACTCAGCTGCACCAGGCGTGAAGCTGGCCTGCCACAGACCTCGTGGCCGGCGTAGTGGGCTTGTTTACGTCTCGCGGCTTCGCTTCCTGCCATGTGATCCGCTGGCTGACGTCGCAGTGACGGAAGAGCACGGACCTCTGCATGCAGCAGAGTTTGAAGTCTAAAAGTAAGTGACTAATTTGCAGCAATAAAAATGGATAAGTGCAGTAGTGTTACCTGAGCAAGTTAGAGCAGTACTTCACTGTAAAGGCAGACGAGACGAGACGAGACGAGACGGCGGGTCGCTGCGGTGAGTGTGAAATAAGACTTTAACTTCCAGACTAACTGTAACCTGCACCTCAGATGCGCTCAGATGGGTAACTCCTAAACAGCTTTTTAACGGAGTAACCCGACGTTAAAGACTTCAGGGCTGACAGTTTTCTCATGAGAGAGGCCATTTAGAAGAGCACCAGTTTCCTTTTCACACTCAGACTCTTGCGGTGGCGATCAGAACCCTGCCCAGATACTCAGCATTGATTTCAGAGCGATCATAAAGAAAGTAACGTCGCATCTGATCATATATAACACACTCACCTACTTCTAATAATAGTCATTGTGTAAAAAAAAAAGCAAACACAAAAAACCGTCTACTCCATGAATGTTTCCATGGATGTTCTTCCTTGTAATCATGATAAGGTATAGTTCTGCTCTATTATATGTCAATAATACTTTGAACGGCAGGATTTATTAAGCAGTTCGAGGGTAGTTTCAACTGTGTGCGTTAAACTTTCTGAATAATTCATCTTCCCCAGCAAAGCCACAAGGAATGTTCCCTCCTTCTACCTTTATCTCCTTCCTTCCTCCATATCTGCTTCCTTCACTCTCTCTGTGTGACCCCCGCAGACACTCAGAGCGTCTTCCTCGTTTTCACACAGATCTTCTTTTCCTTCTTTCTGTCTCTCTTGCTTTCGCCCAAAAAACTGACAGCGACAGCTGAAATACTATCTCGCCTGATCATCACCTCGTCGTTATCTCCCTTTTCTTTCTGACTTGTTTTCTCACAAACAAACGCATACTTTCCAAGCTACGAGTTACAAGGAAAGCTTCATGTCTCAGCATGCACACTTGTTTTTGCCTTAAGCTTCTAATTGGATCTTGCAAATGTGGGTGATTTGTTATTTCTCTGCTGTATTGCTTGTACTTTGTTTACCACTTTGCATCATTTTAGTGCCTTCCTGTAAGTACTAATATAATTACATTCCTGAAACAGACTGGGGTTATTGTTATAGAAAATGCTCATACAGATGCATGCAACTGTTACCGATTAGGAATGACAGATCAGAAATTATTTTTCTAAATATCTGAGTTTTTAGAGAAACTCGTGTTTCCCGCGTTTAACTCTACTGGAGTATGTTTTATGTTTCCCTTTTAAACACCATAAAACAAATGCTCTACCTTTACAAAACCGATTTTTAACAATAAAGGCGTGTGCGCTTCCATTTTTTCCCCATTTCTGTGAGAATGTTTGAGATGGGGTGAGTTTTTGGTGGGTCAGCAGTGATCCTCTCAGCCTCCCTCCATCAACCCATTAACAGGAGTGATAAGGGTCTCCCCAGTGTGACATATGAGACAGTTTTTCTCTGTCCCAGAGCTTTCATTCACACAAACGGGTTACATAATTCTGCAGTTTTCTTCTTGTTCGGTCAGACCCGTTTTTTTTGTCATGGGAAACTTTTGAAATCCTGCAGTGTCATCAGTTTGAGAAACAAAGATAAACAAGGAAGAAAATGCAGAATGATTCGTGCCACCTGGAGTCATCCAGAGCAGCTTGGAGTTCAGCGTCTTGCCTAAGGACTCCTGAATCACGGACCCTAAAGTTAGGGGGCTGTACGACTGG